GACTGCAACCTTCCACCACTACTCACCTCTGTCAGAGCACCCAGCACCCCTGTCACTTCACCCTCCTGCAAACCCCCACTATCCAGGATCCCGATCACTGATCCCTCCATCCACCCACACCCAGGTCACTTCACCCAACTGCAACCCAGCACCCCTACTCCACACCACTAGCCCGCATCCCTATCACTGATCCCTCCATCCCGCACACCCCTGTCACTTCACCCAAATGCAAACCTTCACCGCAACCCAGCACCCCCAATAACTACCCAGCACCCCTGTCACTGCACCCCTCCACCACAACCCGTTGCATTCCATCACTCAGGATTCCTCCTATCAGCTTGGTTGACATCTGTCCCTTCACCATACTTCCGATTCCCACCGCTGATATCACTTCCGGGTCAGTAATGAAGCTCCTTTTGCTGCGTGCGGTGCTGAGGGCGGACACTCAGCTCACTTCCCTTTACCTGCCAGCAGTGTTTTTTCAACCACTAACATACACTTTATTATATTTTCAGTGAATAATAATAATAAAACATTACAGCTGCCAACAAAATTATTATTTTATATAGTGAATTGTCCCAAGTTCAGAAAGGTCGGCGGCCATTTTGTTGTAGCCTACAGGAAATAAGGAGACTAAATAGTGCAGCTGTAGCTTCCAGCTAGGGGGTGTGAAGCTGCAGAATGGCTTTCCAGTGAGGACGAGGTAATATTATGAATATATTCTTATTATGAGAGGAGGAAGAGAGAAGGGGGTCCCAGCACTCTGTGTGGACTGGATGGGGGGATCATGTTACCCCAACATATCATCATCTTCCTGCAAGACCTCTGATGTGTAGAATATTAGATGGTGAGCTCTGCTGGGATGAAGGCGCTGGGAATGATGGCACTGGGGATGTATTCCTGGAAAATCACAACCCCCCTCTTTTAGATATACACCTATCTATGGGAACTAGAATTGATTGCAGATCTTGAGCTGATTCGAAAGGTAGGGATTGCCATACTTACTCCTCGCTCTGGCCGGCTCCTTCCATCAGTGTGAAGCCTCTTCTGTAAGGTGTGCAGGCCGAACCCTGACATCATGTGCAAGATTGGGCCAATAGTCTTGCTTTGTAGGTGAGGATGGCAAAGGCCCCCCAACCACCCAGAGCGTCGAAGAGAGTGCCAGAGTGAGGGTTGGTATTACACCACATTTCTCCAACCTTTGCAGTCTGGAGGGGTATTTCATTTCTACAACCCCATTCAGCTTGAAGTCTATGGAGTTGGCATGGGGGGACCGTGCGCACAATAGTAACCAAGCATATCCAGTGCATGCTATTGCAACTTCCTCTCTTAGGTGACCCCATTGGAAGATTTTCACCTTAGTCTGGAGACAACTCTAATGAGGGGGGGTTCGAGGGTGTTGACAGAGATTCTAGCCCTTCCCAACTCAACCCAAAACTAAAAAAAATCCCTATAGGAACTCTTTGGATTGGTGAAAATTAGCCAATTTGGCAGAGCAACGCGTATCTGTGAGTGCCCTCAAAGCCCATCTGCGTGCAAACACAAACCCCCCATCCCACCCAATCACAACCTTTCCCAATGATACGTAAGTCAAGTAACATACTTCCCGAGAGATTAGAGCTCGGCTGGAATGTTTACAACAATATGGTTTGACTGCTTGAAGACAAATATGTTCATTTAAAGCCGTGTAAGGGAAGTATATTGATTTTTATAAGTGGATTTCAGAATTTTCTTTTTTTTTAAGGGGGAGGGGCTTTAGGCCATGCCAGAATTTAATAGGCCAACCTTGCCTTTTGGGTGCACGGTCTGCTATTATTATACACATTTTGTTCTCTTTGTCTTATCAGATGCACGTTCAATATTTGAGGTCACGTTATTGATTCCTTTCACTTTATGCCGAAGGAGTGGGAGTATCTTGTAGGACACAAGGATCTCTACAAGGACATCATGATGGAGAACCGGCCGCCCCTCACATCACCGGGTAAGAGGAGACTTTCATGTCTTGTAAAGGAGAGAAGAGTACTGAGGATCCCCCTAGATACACACATCCTCTGATATAAAGACAATGTATTCAGTCAGTGTGTGTGTTTCCTACAGATGGATCCAGGAGCAGAAATACCCCAGAGAGATGTCCCCGTCCTCTGTATTCCCGGGATTCCACACAGGAACATCAGGAGATCCCTCAGACCCGTCCTCTGTATTCCCGGGATTCCACACAGGAACATCAGGAGATCCCTCAGGAACATCAGGAGTTCCCTCAAGATGATCAGGTAGATGGGAGTGAGGGTCTAACCAATTTTTAATATTGCTTACTATATGCTCAGTGGATCTCATGTAATAAGTATAATGTCTGTTTTTTTTGAAGAGTGAATATATAATTAAAGTTGAAGTAAAAAACGAAGCAGAAGACACGTCCGTTAGTGATGATGATCCATGTAAGGAGGAGGAAATCCTTCCAGAGATGAGCTCAGGTGAGGAATAAACACTGAATCCAGAAAAGAGTCCCAGATTCTCCTTGTTCAGTCACTACACCAATCTCTTCTTCTCCCCCCTCCTCTGTCAGTAGACAGTAATGGGGGGACGGAATGTGTCTAGTGGGGGGAGTCAGGAGCCATCAGCCTCTATTAGACTCCGCCTCTCCTCCTCACATCATGTCATTGTGTGTTACCAGCCAAGAGATGTGACCAGTCTCCCCCCACACACACTCTCTGGGGTCTCTCATACATCTAAGTACAGGGGGCTTCACTCTCATCTTTATTCACAGACCCCGGAGACACCAGAGACACACAGAGAGATGTCAAAGATGAGGAGGAGGTAAAAGAACACATGAGGATCAAAGAGGAGGAAATTCCTCCAGAGACCAATACAGGTGAGGAATAAACATGAAATATACAAAATATATTTACAGATCGATCCTTCATTGTTTGTCATTTTGCTCTAGGTGGACCCAGTAATAAAAATACATCAGTACGTTATCCCCACCCTCTGTATTCCCGGGATTCCATACAAGAACATCAGAAGAGCTCTGTGGAACACAAGGTAGCTGTAATTTAATTGGAAGCATGGTAACTCTTGTGTCTAAGCCCAGGCCAAGTCACTGGACAACGTAGTTATTGTTTTTTGTTTTATAGAAAGAAAGTCTGAGTGAATTTATAACTGAAGATGTAGATGATGCCAAGACATATGTGTGGGACAATGTACCGTTTAAGGAGGAGGAAACCCCACCAGAGATGAGCACAGGTGAGGAATTAACATCCAGAGAAGAGTCCCAGATTCTCCTTGTTCAGTCACTACAACAATCTCGTCTTCTCCCCCCTCCTCTGTCAGTAGACAGTAATGGGGGGACAGAATGTGTTTAGTGGGGGTAGTCAGGAGCCATCATTCTCTATTAGACTCCGGCTCTCCTCCTTACATCGTGTCATTGTGTGTTACCAGCCAAGAGACGTGACCAGTCTCCCCCCCCCACACTCTCTGGGGTCTCTCATACATCTCAGTACGGGGGGCATCAATCTCTTCTTCTCCCCCCTCCTCTGTCAGTAGACAGTAATGGGGGGACAGAATGTGTTTAGTGGGGGTAGTCAGGAGCCATCATTCTCTATTAGACTCCGGCTCTCCTCCTTACATCGTGTCATTGTGTGTTACCAGCCAAGAGACGTGACCAGTTCTCACACACACACTCTCTCTGGGGTCTCTCATACATCTCAGTACGGGGGGCATCAATCTCTTCTTCTCCCCCCTCCTCTGTCAGTAGACAGTAATGGGGGGACAGAATGTGTTTAGTGGGGGTAGTCAGGAGCCATCATTCTCTATTAGACTCCGGCTCTCCTCCTTACATCGTGTCATTGTGTGTTACCAGCCAAGAGACATGACCAGTCTCCCCCCACACACATTCTCTGGGGTCTCTCATACATCTCAGTACAGGGGGCTTCACTCTCATCTTTATTCACAGACCCCGGAGACACTCAGAGGGACATCAAAGCTGAGGAGGAGGAAGAAGGACATGTGAGGATCAAAGAGGAGGACATTCCATTAGAGATCAACAGAGGTGAGCAGAGAACCTTTTGATACTGTAAGGTATGGTAACCCCATCCTTTTGAAGTGTCCAAAATAAATGCAACTAGCTGTTTGAACCCTAATATGTTGCTCAAGATGGCTGATGACGTTTTGGGGGACCCTTTGGAATTTGATGAGACTCAACATATATTATCCACAGTGGTCTATATTTGTCAGGGGGGGATGGGCATCGGTCTTGCTTGCCTGTTTCTGGTCAATTCTACAAAACTAATCTGGATATTTGTCCTGTTTTCCCTCCAGCTGGTGACATAGAGGACGAGGAAATCACATCCAATTCTTCAGAAGAAAGGTCCATGACCCCAAATCTCCATCCAGCACCTCACTGTGCCAGTTTATCGTCTGATCCCTCCACACATGGTCAGAGTTTTATCGATCCCTCATGTCGTGACGCCATTGAGCCTTCTGAACGTTTGGCCAAGAGCGATGAGCGTATTTCAGACCGAAGTGCTCCGGAAGGGAAGAAACCATGTCCACGCTCCAAGCCTCAGAATCGTATTCTCCAGGAGTCGCATCGTCCCGCACAAGAAAAAGGGCAAAATGCAGAGAAACCATTTTCGTGTTCGGAATGTGAGAAATGTTTTACACGGCGATTCAGCCTTATCGTCCATCAGAGAACTCACACGGGCGTGAAGCCATTTTCGTGTACGGAGTGCGGGAAGTGTTTTGCCCAGAGGTCAAACCTTGCGGCCCATCGGAGAACTCACTCAGGGGAAAAGCCTTTCTCTTGTACCCATTGCGGTAAACGTTTTCCGAGTAAGACGTCTCTTTTCAGACACGAACAAGTTCATACGGCGGACCAGAGAACTTGCTTAACCGAGAAGCCGTATTCGTGTTCAGAATGCGGGAAAGGTTTCACTTGGAGAACCAGGCTTATGGTTCACCAGAGAACTCACACGGGGGAGAAACCTTACTCGTGTTCAGAGTGCGGGAAGCGGTTTTATTTCAAGTACTTGCTTCACGAACACCGTAGAGCCCACACGGGTGAGAAACCTTTTTCCTGTTCGGAATGTGGGAAACGTTTCACCTGGCGAACCAGGCTTATCGTACACCAGAGAACTCACACAGGGGAAAAGCCCTATTCCTGTTCGGAATGTGGAAAGTGCTTTTATTTTCGATATTTACTTATCGAACACCATAGAACTCACACGGGAGAGAAGCCGTTTTCATGTACAGAATGTGGAAAGTGTTTCTCCCAGAAGGAATGTCTTATCTCCCACCAGAGGACTCATACCAGGGAGAAACCTTACTTGTGTACGGAATGCGGGAAGTGTTTTTCTTCTAAACATTTACTGACTGTTCACCATAGAGCACACACCGGAGAAAAGCCCTATTTGTGTTCGGAATGTGGGAAGGGTTTCGCTAAAAGAGCATACCTTGCTATGCATCAGACGACTCACACCGCAATCAAGCCATTTTCTTGCTCCAAATGCGGGAAATGTTTTAGTCGTAAATCAACTCTTCTAACGCATGAAAAAACTCACACGCGGGAGAAGGTTTATCCCTGTTTGGAATGTGGGAAATGTTTTACCGAGAAAGGTAATCTAGCAGCACATCAGGCGGTTCACACCGGCAATCTCCCGTATTCCTGTTCCGAGTGTGGGAAAGGTTTTACCAACAAATCAAATCTGGCGGCCCATAATCGCGTCCACACCGGAGTGAAGCCCTATTCTTGCTCCGAATGCGGGAAACACTTTACTCGGAGGTCGTCTCTGTTGAGGCACGGGAAAGTTCACACGGGGGAGAAACCATATTCGTGTCCCGATTGTGGTAAACACTTTGCCGAAAAGTCATGGCTGGTCAGACACCAGAGATCTCACACGGGGGAGATGCCATTTTCTTGTTCCAAATGCGGGGAATGTTTTTCTTGGAAGTCGTCGCTCGTCAGGCATGAGAGAGCTCATAAGGGGGAGAAGGCTAGCTTGTAATGTGAACATGCAAAACCTATCATTATATCTATCATAGAAGGGACTCCTAACCTTGTTTTCAAGGATAAAGTTAATGTTGTTGCTTTAAAAATAAGAATCTACGTTTTCAGGATGCAAACCCTCGTAGCTAATCATCGCAGTCATTTAAAAAGAATTACACTATATTGCCAAAAGTATTGGGACGCCGGCCTTGAAACGCACATGAACTCTAATGGCATTGAGTTGGCTCCGCCCTTTGCCGCTATAACAGCTTCAACTCTTCTGAGAAGGAGTCCACAAGGTTTAGGAGTGTGTCTATGGGAATGTTGGACCATTTGTGAGGTCAGGTACTGATGTTGGAGGAGAAGGCCGGGCTCGCAGTCTCCGCTCTAATTCATCCCAAAGGTGTTCTATGGGGTTGAGGTCAGGACTATGTGCAGGCCAGTCAAGTCCCTCCACCCCAAACTCCCCCATCCATGTCTTTATGGGCCTTGCTTTGTACACTGGTGCACAGTCATGTTGGAACAGGAAGGGGCCATCCCCAAACTCTTCCCACAAAGTTGGGAGCATGAAATTGTCCAAAATGTCTTGGTATGCTGAAGCCCTAAGAGTTCCCTTCACTGGAACTAAGGGGCCCAAGCTAAACCCCTGAAAAACAACCCCACACCATAATCCCCCCTCCACCAAACTTTACACTTGGCACAATGCAGTCAGGCAAGTACCGTTCTCCTGGCAACCGCCAAACCCAGACACATCCATCGGATTGCCAGACAGAGAAGCGTGATTGGTCACTCCAGAGAACACGTCTCCACTTCTCTAGAGTCCAGTGGCGGCGTGCTTTACACCACGGCATCCCACGCTTTGCATTGCACTTGGTGATGTAAGGCTTGGATGCAGCTGCTCGGCCATGGAAACCCATTCCATGAAGCTCTCTACGCACTGTTGTTGTGCCGATCTGAAGGCCGCACGGAGTTTGGAGGTCTGTAGCTATTGACTCTGCAGACAGTTGGCGACTTCTGCGCACTTCAGCATGCGCTGACCCCGCTCTGTCATTTCACGTGCCTACCACTTCCTGGCTGAGTTGCTGTTCCCAGTTGCTTCCACTTTGTTGTAATACCAGTAAACAGGTGACCGCGGAATATTTAGTAGCCAGGAAATGTCACGGATGGATTTATTGCACAGGTGACAACCTATCACGGTACCACGCTTGTAGTCACTGAGCTCCTGAGAGCGACCCATTCTTTCACAAATGATTGTAGAAGCGTCTGCATGCCGAGGTGCCTCATCCTATACACCTGTGGCCATGGCGGTGATTGGAACACCGGAATCCAATGATTTGGAGGGGGAGGGGCCCAATACTTCTGGCAATATAGTGTACCTACCTATGGGACATGTCCAGTTCTGGGTCTTATGCCTTCTCGCATACTGGAAGTGTACTTCTCTGGGTGTCTATGTGGCTGCTTGTTGACCCATTGGGTCCATTGGTAGGCTTCTCACGGTGTCCAGTAGTATTAAACTCGCAGACATTTTCAATAATGAACCCAGATCAATGAAATATACATTGGCCAGCAAATTATTGAAGTTGTTGCCTGAGCACTTAGAGTCGGAGCTGTTTGGAAACATGATGTCTGTCTCAGCGCAGCTTCCCGGAACTTCCTTTCCAGTACAAGATCCCAAGGGACAGTACAGTCTCCAGCAGCTGTTCATCTACTAGTTTGGAGAAGGAAGGAGTGGGGAGCAGGGGGTGTTCTGCCTCCCCAGTTTAAGCATTGAAACTCTATAACTTACAGCTGTCAGTAACTCACAATCCTCATAGAGTCAGCAGACAGTGGACTCAGTCCAGATGACACCTTGAAGATCGTTGAGAAGTGTAATCCAAACTGCAGATCTTTACAACAGCGAAAATTTGGTAGGTGAAACGATCATAATGTGATCCACTCAGCAAAGAACATGTGGCGGAGATGCAGACTGGAACGTAATGAGCTATCTACATAGGAGGAAAAGCTGAACTAGGGGGAGGGGCGGAGACAAATACCAGAGACAGATGAAACACATATCACAATGCATGTGTAACCTGACAGGGGAGAGAGGAGTTCCTTGCCTTGCTGTGTTTGAGGAGACACACACAGCTTACTAGCACACACAAAGGTGACTCCATAGGACCCCGCAAGGGAAAGGAGCCGCCCTAATACAGGATATCAGTGCTTAGGGGACCAGCTCATTCTGCAGGAAACTAAGACTTTCAAAGGGCAGTGTCCATTGTAAGTAAATTCATCAGCATTTGAAATAGTCTCAAAAGCTTTTGACTAGGGATGCACTGATACCGGCTTTTCGGTATTGAGTACGAGTACAGATTATTTTGTTTTCGGTACTCGCCAATACCGGAAGTCTCATTAAGGAGGCCGGGCGGTGTGTAATGACTCGCCACCTGGCTTCCTCATTAGCCGGGTGGCAAGTCTTTACACGCCACCCGGCCTCCCAGCTAATTGGGAAGCCAGGTGGTGAGGAAACCAGGTGACGAGAAAGCATGGAGCTGGCTTTCTGGCCAATCAGGAAGCCGGGCGCCATGTAATGACACATTGCCACGCTTCCTGATTGGTCGAGAACTTGGCCAATCAGGAAGCCGGGCAACGTGTCAATACACGGCGAAAAAAAGGGGGGGGTGTTAGTGATATCCCGGGTGATAAGGGGGGGGGGGGTGTTAGTGATATCCCGGGTGATAAGGGGGGTGTGTTAGTGAAATCCCAGGTTGACGCGGGAAACTTTTCGTCCGATGATCGAACCGTCGTACGATTGTCATACGGCAACCCCATAATGCCCCGATTATTGCAAGGTTCAATGAGCCGTAATTAAAGAAAAGCACCTGGACGAATTGCGGTAATCGATCGCACGTATTTTCGTTTGCGCATGAGCAGTGTAGATCATACGATTTTTGACATACGGAAAAGCCACTAACCTTGCAATAATCGTACGATCGACCAAAGTTTTCAAACATGCTTGAAAGTCAAAAGTCGTACGAATGTACAGTATTTGCGGTTGTACACTGCCCATACACCTTGTGATAATCGTACGATAATCGCAAGGTGTATGGGCACCTGATGACTAATTTCTGCTCTCTCCTCAGAGGGGAGGGGGGGGGGGGTCAGCTGATTGCAGTTTAGAGATAACAACCGGACCCACCATAGCCATCCGTGGCTCCCCCCCTACCGCTGTCACGCTGGTCCTGGGCTCCGCTGTGCCCGTTGCGAGCCCGGGACCAGCATAGTGCCTCTGTGACAGGGGATCAGATGGAGATAGACAGAGACTTCTTCCCATTCAGAAACTGGTTGATGGAAAATATTTTCTGAATAAAAGACAGGCTGGGAGCTATGGAAAAGGGTTAAAGGGAAAAGTGAATTTGAGGAGGGATACTCACAGGATTGGTGGAGGGAGCTTTACAGGAGGAGCTTTGGAGAGTATCCAGGAAGGAGGAGTTCCAGGAGCCAGCGTGACCAGGAGAAGGAACAGGACTCCCTACCCGCCCACCCTGGTATGGTTTTGGTGGTGTCTAAAGTTTGTCGCAGCATTATGGCGGTTTGGGGATCCTTGAAGGCAATTTTCTAGGTTGGATAATTGGACGGGGGAACCCATCAGTGGTGTGGGTGGCCTTCGGTGGTGGTAAGGTCACACGTCATGACCTGGTAAGAGGGACCACGGTGGGTCTGTGGGCAATTGAAGTACGTCCCCGAGTCGGTGTATGGCGGCTGGGGTCATAGTTACGCAGTTACATAGTATCTGACGTTGAATAAAGACATTAGTCCATCAAGTCCAACCTATTAGGATATCATTCTTAGGAGTACCTGTACCCCTGTATATTACGGTCCCTTAAGAAATCGTCCAAAAGTTTCTTGAACAATTCCACATTATTTGCTGAAATCACCGCCTGTGGCACTGATCTTACTGTGAAGAACCCCCTTCGCCCCTTGTGCTGGAATTTTTTTTCCACCAATTTTAGGGTCATTCCGTTTAACCAGTTGACATCCACGATGTTAAACCCCCTTCCCATCCAGGCCATTTTTCAGTATTCAGCGCTGCGGTACTTTAACTGACATTTATTCCGTCATGCAGCGCTGTACTGAAATGAATTTTATACCCTTTTTTGGGGACAGATAGAGCTTTCTTTTGGTGGTATTTATTCACCACTGGGGGTTTTATTTTTTTACTATATTAAGGAAAAATTACCGAAATTTAAAAAAAAAAACAGTTTCCCCTATATTAAATGATAAAACATTTATTATTACCCAATTTTTTGGTAAAATATAAAAGATGGGGTCACGTCGGGTAAAAAGACACTAAACATGTCAAGCCTTAAAATTGCGTGCGCGCGCGAAACCTCAAAAAACGATAATACCCAAAATTGGCCATAGGCGACGCTTTAAAAGCTGTTACCGCTCATCAGTTTAGTGTTATCAGTGATTGATGGCCCTAAAATGATTGCTCTCACTGCGACGTTCGCGGCGATATGTAACATGTGTAGCGCAATTGTAATTTTTGCGCGCTGGGGCACCGGACGCGTATTTACGTTTATAGGCGCGTAAACGTGGGGGTGGGGGAGTTAAACATTTTGGGGGGGTTTTTTCCCCTTTTTTTATATGTGACTTTTATTTTATTTTACTTTTTTATGTGTTACTTTTATTTTTTTTTATTTATATTTTTTTTTTTTGCACTTATTGTTATTGCTATTATATAGGGGGATAACAACCCTGGTGGGGGGGGTGCCGCGAACGAGCACATATAGGCGATCGGCGGGCTATGGACCCGCTGATCGCCTATATGTGAAACACCCGGTAACGGGTGTGTTTAATCGTCGGGTCTTTTCTGCCCGTGCGTGCCCGCTAGGGGGCGCGCGCGAGCAGAAAAAAATTGCCGTCTGGAGACGGCAACCCGCAGATGTAGCAGTGCCGTCCATCCGTTTTTTTACTACGGGCGGACGGCAAGAGGTTAAGAAAGGTTCCCGCAGACACTGGTCC